AAGGAAGGAGGGGAGGGAGAGAAGAAGAAAGGATTTGGGGGTCAGCAAGATGGCTGGACAGGTAAGAGCACTGGCCAGCAAGCCTGAGTTCGATCCTAGGAACGCACGTGGTAGATGACATTCCCACAAGCTGTCCTCTGACCTCCATACATTTTGCGCATCCAAACATATACATACATAAACAATAAATAAATTTTTTTAAAAAAAAACTTAAAGGTGATTTTGCAAAAGCAGCCCTCAACCTCTAGCCAACTGATGTGTATTTCTTCATACAGTTCAGTAAGTAAATGTATCAAAACCACATATCATCGTGTGCTTTATAATGCTGTTTGGAATTGCTGCCCTGTATTCTTTTAAGGGCATATTTTTTTTTCTAAGAAAAGGGAAGTCTTTGGTTCGATATATTTCTTCATAATGTCAGGGTCAGAGATTTAAAGACACAATTCTTGAACAGACTGCTCTGTGCCCGTCTTTAAAAAAGAAAATCATTAATGATAACTAAGTCTATTAGGAAAACTGACTAGAAGCATGTCTACTTTGCTATTTTCTTCTAAACGGCTTTCAGAAAAGGACCCCTCACATAACATAGGTTGGACCCAAGAAACAGGGCTCCTTCTGGCATGTGTATGAGAAATCCAGCTTTAAATGAGTCTAGACGAGAACGGACGATCTCCCTCTCTCTGTGCTTCGCCATCTATGTAACATGACTCTTCAGTTGGAGCAAAGGTTACAGCAAAAACAAGCTAGTTAAATGAAACATTCTTATGCATCCATTAATATTCCAATAAATGAAAATCAACTTCCGTGGCCTACTACCTTGCCAGAAACGCTGTTAGCAGAAATAAAACCAATGAGAAAGTGCATCCACGTCCGGGGCTACTGGAGCAGCTCTTGTGGGAAAAGAGATGGGACTGCCCCTGAGTAAAGACAGAGAACACGGAGAGGACATAAGTTCTGGGGCTGCCTAGACGAAGGCCCAGGTGCCCCGGGGTGGGGCTCTTCTGGGGGCAAGGCCCAATGCCTAGGCCAGCCTCCCACTCATCCTGGGGATTTGCTGTACAGTTCTCTCCTCCAGAACTGTCCCTGTCAATCAGGAAACACCCAAGCAGCCTGGCTTCTGACAAATAAGGTGCAAGCTCAGCCTGGGTAGCTGAAAGGAATGCTTCCTAACAAGGGTCAATCGATATGCAGGTCAGAACCGGGTCAGCTGAAGGTGGATGAAAGATAAGACAGACACCGGGAAATTCAAATCAGCCAAGAAGCAAGACCCAGATTACGCTTTGCTGACTGAGAGGTAGAAATTAGCTGTGGGTACAAGTTGCACAATTGCTGGTGACTAGGATAGCCCCGCAAGAATCTATTCTGCCCTCTTAGTAGTTCGTGACGCATGCCTGAGTGTTCAGCAGGAGGTGGGGGCGTGGAGAAGAGATCCTGCATCAGCGAGACAAGAATGGGTGTGTCTCTAAGGCCTGCTTCAGCCCACTAGCATGATGACTAACCAGGCTAGTATGAGGTCCTGAGAGACCGTCTTCCTTTCCTGGGAGGCGCATCTGACAGTAAACACGAGGGGGTGTTCAGTAGTCTACATGGCTGATGGAAAGAGTAGAAGTTCCGGGGCCACACTCTTGGAATTCTTCTCGCATAGCTAGAGAGGTCCAATTCCAATGTCCGTCTCGAACTCTTCTCTCCCATCCCCAAAGTAAAGTACTCTTTCCATCTTGAGACCATCAGGAGAACCACAGACTATAGACTCCTGGGATGGATGAACTAATTCCATTCTTTCCCTAGCAAAATGGAGTCACTTTACCTCTTCCATCAGCCTGGGGCTACAAACCTCAGCAAAGCCGACCGCATCTTCCCGTCTGCATATTCCCACATAAGCAGCACACAACACTGCAGAGGAGGTCAGTGAGTCCTACTTTCTGGCCTTAAAACAACCATCTGACTCTAAGATGCGGAGGAGTAAATGTGTCTGTTTATATTGCTTTGCTTGGTTAAGAGAAGACTGGAAAGTCCACATGAATTTTTAGGGTTAAATGAAAGATTTTTAAAGCAAACGTTTGCCTACCTTGGAGGTGCTTATTGGCTGCAGACTCGCAAAGGGACACAGTCCTTCTCCTTCACAGTAGGGTATTCTGATAGAAAAGCTTAAGCAAGTATTTACTCCGTGACCTAGAGATAAACGTGTTCACGTAGGGTTTCCTATGTGAAGTCCAGAGATGGGTCCAGAAAGAATTGATGGACCCTGGAGAGAGGACTACTGAAAAGGAGCCGTACAAACGGCTCCAAGAGATCTTAGCTCTGCTTCTCAGCCACAGCCTTCCCATGTTTCTCTAACTTCCAAAGTCTTCACCTATGTGCTTCCCCAACACACAGTATTACAGAGTTGCTTTGGAAACCCTTGTACACAAGAGGCGTGGCCAGGAAGACTCCATCTCAGCATATGCATTTACGTACGACAGGAACAAGGCAAAATACTATGTGTGGGCAAGCCTTGCCGGGCAAAGCTGAAGCAAGCCCCCAGCTTGAGAAACGTGGGAAAGCCCTTTCTGCACTCAGTCCCGGTAGCTGGAGTTTCCCCGACTAGCCCTGGCATTTCTACACGCTGTCTCATAGACATCTCCCAGGAAGCAGGTATCACTGCCTCCCAAGGGTGTAAATGTCAGCCAAGCCTCGTTTACAAACAACAAAACTGGGGTTCACCTTGGGTCACCTCTTTTTCCTCCACTGCATATTCTACTCCATCATTTACTGCCTCCTGATTTTCCCCTTAAAATAGACTTGTCTCTTGTTAGCCTAATAACTGGATAGCTTACTATCCACATATTTGAGGCTTTAGTTTTCTACAAGCAACTATGTCAATGAGTAAAGTATCAGATGTGTCCCCCCCCCCATTCTCATGGTGTTTCAGTGGGCTGGGATTATTTAACTCCTGTTTTACTCAATGCTCCAGCTGTCTCTTGGGGGAATCAGCAACAAAAGCCCCTGAAGTATTAGTCAAACTATCTGGCATGCATGGCTCTCTTCCCTCACAAGTAACAACTTCGGATACAGATGTAACTATATTTGCTTATGTGCAGTGGGTTCAAGGTTAATAGGCGCAAAGGAAGCAGCCTAAATCTTCCCCATAGTAAGACAGAAGGTGTCTCAGCTGTTGCTATTATATTTAGATAGACCAGTCCCCGTCCCTTGTCAATCTGTCCAGGGCAGAATAAAATGGAAAACAAATGATCCCAACTTTTATTCCCAACGTCTGAGAGTACAGAGGCTCTCTTAGTCTGACAACACTGTATCACCATGAACACCTTTCCCCAGCGTAACAGAGGATCTCACTGGCTCTTCTCTGAATGTGTCAAGCTCTAAACTCCACTGTCCGTTTTGCTGGGCGCACTGGGAGCTTCATCTGACCTCTTTCCCGAAACGTCCCTGCAATTTCTCCAGTGGATCCTCTGGTGATTCAGTTGTTCACTCCACGCCCTTCGTAACTCCTGGTGATAATTCTACAGCCCTATCAGACTCAGTTTCACTGCTGAGCCCAGATAGGCACGGAGCCAATGTATTGCCAATAGCACTCACTCTGCACTAACTTAAAATACACGGTGCGGCTTGCCAAGTTTCCTTATTTGGCGAGAAGGTCCCTCAGTTCCCAAGATCTTTGACCATCCATTTTTAGATCTAAATCCGTGCGCTTAATATTTGGTTATTACTTCTCTTAATGTGTTCTTATGCATATCCCCCCCCAAAATACTTTTAAGGGATCAATCATCTACTCGCTTCCCTAGACAATAAAATGTTCCCCACTTAAACTTTTGCCTTGCACATTCTTAAGTTTAAAACACACAAACACGCTTCACAATAACTCCAAAAAGTACTTGCAGAAATTATATTGTAAAAGTTTAAAATAAACAGTACACAGTGCTCCAAACGACCATTTTCCTCTATCATAATTCTCTTTCCAAACAAGCTAAATTCATGTTCATTTACAATCTCCCAAATCTCTCACTATTGTAGCAGAAATCTAAAACAAAGACTCTACAAATGACCAAAACCATAATTAAAATACAGCCGGCACTTTTTTTTTTTTTTTTTTAAATCAAAGAAGGCATGAAATGTCGTAGAAACAGGCCTACGACAAAGAAGTCTGGTCTTGGACCATTTGTTTATTTTTATCGTTAAATATTTTGGAAGGTTTGGATCCACTAAATCCTGACAGATGGTTTCATCTACAGTCAAGAAAGCCAGAAGACTCGCTACAACTACTTCTGGGGTAAAACAGGAAGACACTTCAACCACACAGCCTGAACTCAGATATCCTCAATCCATTCTGGAAGCCGGTTCTCATACGCATTATTAATGAAGGCTGCTTATTGTGAAATCGCTGGAACGGGCCACCAAATGGTGCGCTTTCATTATTAACGAAACTAACAAAAATAGCAATTATGTTCCCCATAAACAGTGCTTACGCAGGATCTCCAGGCGCATGAGAAACATACATTTTTGGGCAACCCAACAAGGACGTGCCATTGTTTTTTCAGGCAGTTCCATGTCAACTGGGCAGTTTAGAATTAAAGTTTTTCGGGAAGCTGTCACACGCGGGGCGAGGCATGGCTGCGGCCCGGAGGCACTCACAGCCAAATCGGGTGTGGGTCCCCGACCCCCGACACCCGCGTGTGCTCCCACGGAAGGGAAAGGTGCTCGGGAAGGGCAGCCGCCACAGGCGCCCGGGCTGTGTCAGGCCGGGCTCTTCCGGGCACCGACTGCTCCACGGGACTGTCCCGGGCATGCCCAAGCCGTACTCGGCCCAGCGACAGGGAACTGCGGGGCCTCAGGGCACCGGGCGCAGGGCTGCAGGGCACCGGGCGCGGGCCGAGGACAGCCGCGCGCCGAGCCCCGGCCTCCCACACCCGCGCAGCCCTAGTCCCCACAGGTCCGGGCCCGGGCCCGAGCGATCCTCCAGGGTGGTGCTCCCTCCCTCTTCCCCGGTCCCCCATGACCCCTACCTGGCTCCCGGGCCGGGTGCGAGCGGCGGCGGGGGTCGGGGACGGCGGCCCGCGCTGCTCCCACGCTTCCGCCGGAGTCAGGAGTTGAACATTCCGCCTCTCCGCGCGGCGCCAATGGGGACGACGTCGCTGCAACAGCACCACCTACCTACGGGCGCGGTACCGCCAGCCCCCCAGCCTCCCGGCACGCCCGGCCCAGCGCCCTGAGGAAAGACCGTGGCTCTGGGTCACACAGACCCCGGGTGCTGCTCGCCCCCGCGGGACCTGGTGCTCTGCCTGGGAGGGGGCCAACAGGGAAGTGGATTTCTGTGGAGACAGGGTTGCAGGTGCCTCAGTTGGGACCATCAACAGGTACTTTGGGAATTTTGAGGAGGAGTCACGGACTGCTGCTCTGGTTGGTGACTTTAAGGTGAAGTCCCTGAGATTTCACATTGAGGTGACAGAGTCCATTGCAAGTATGGAAGAAGAAAAAAAAGTGGCACCGGACTTTGGGAAATAATAATAATAATAAAAAAAATTGGCTGGGGAGAATGGAACTGGAGAGGAAAGAGAGAAGAGATTGCAAAAGTAGGAGCGTCATTTTCTGAATAAGAATTTAGTCATGCACACACTTGGAGAATTATGGAAAGTGGAAGCGGAGTAAAATGGGTGTTTGCTTTAGCGCATTGCTTGATATTGCAGCGCGTGGCTTACAAGCCCTAAGATTTTAAATCACGTTCTTTACTTCCCATTCATTTTAGTGGTGATTTAGAGAGTTGCCTGGGGATGGAAACAGGATTAATGGGAGATATTGTCACTTCCTGCTTACAGATAGGACCGCGAGGACCTGAGTTAGAGGGTGCAACATAAAAAAAGAAATTGGAATTTTGAGAGACATGTTTCAGAAAGAGGCCACAGAAATTGGTGACCCATTCGATTGGGAAAGAAGAAAGCAATGATGCCAGGATTTGAGACCTGGGTGTCAGGAAGAATGATGGTGTCATTGACAGAAATAGAAATTTGTGGAGAGGAAACTGGCTTCCTGCTGAGTTTTGAAGCCATGAGAGGAAGAACAGGTAGAGATGAAACAAGAAACGGAAATCAGAAGGGAGGCCAAAGGAGAAATAGAAATTCTGAAAAACGTTCATATATGTTTAGGATATGAATGTGGAAGGGTGGGTAAACATAAATTAATAATCTTAAAAAGCCCTTCTGGTCTGTTATTACAAAGACTGAGGGTTTTAGATTAATAAACTACATCTTGGTAACCGAGAAGACTGAAGAAAACTTCCACACTAAAAAAAAAAAAAAAAAAAAAATTCTGTGCAAAGTGATCAAACGATTGTAGAAGCCTCCGGTCTACTCAAAAAAAAAAAAAAAAAAAAAAAAG